AGAACATTTATCCGTTCCATCTTAGACTATGGATGCATTGTTTATGGTTCAGCTAGGAAGTCTTATTTGAAAATGCTTGACCCAATTCATCATCAGGGAATAAGACTTGCTCTAGGAGCATTTAAGACATCTCCGTGTGAAAGCCTTCTCGTGGAAGCGAATGAACCACCTTTATCGCATCGCAGAGAAATGCTTTCTGCACATTATGCTCTTAAGTTACGATCCAACCCTCTGAACCCTGCTTTTTCGGCCGTTTTTCATCCAAATTACAAAATTTTATACGTAAATAAACCAAATGCTATACCTTCATTTGGTTTCAGAATATCATCCTGCTTTGACCAAATCAAATGTAATCTATCTTCAATCCAGAAAACATTTGTCTCGAAAACACCACCTTGGCTCATTAAGCAACCCCAAGTGAATTTTACGTTACACGATCGGAAAAAATCTGAGACAAACCCTATCCTATTCTTGAAGTCTTATCATGATCTTCTCAATGACTTTACACATTATGCTAGATTTTATACTGATGGATCAAAGGTTGCTGATAAGGCTGCTGCAGCTTTCGTCAGTGGCAAACACATAACCAAAGAGCGTTTGCCAAATGATGGATCCATATTTTCAGCGGAAATCAGAGCAATAGACCTTGCTCTGACATTTATTAAATCTAAACACATTCTAAATAGTATTATCTTCTGTGACTCATTATCAGTGCTTCAGGCGCTACACAATATCAAACTAGATAATCCACTATTGGTGAATGTTCTGGAAATCAGAGCAATAGACCTTGCTCTGACATTTATTAAATCTAAACACATTATAATAATATTATCTTCTGTGACTCATTATCAGTGCTTCAGGCGCTACACAATATCAAACTAGATAATACACTATTGGTGAATGTTCTGGTCAAAAACTCTGAGCTTAGTGCCTCATGCAATATAGTATACTGTTGGCTACCTAGCCATATTGGCATTAGAGGTAACGAAGAAGCAGACCTGGCTGCTAAGATGGCTCTATCTTTAGAACCATCGGATTTTAAATTACCATATTCTGATTTTAAACAATGTATCAAAAAGTATCTACGTCAAAAGTGGCAGGTATCATGGGATGATGCAATCAATAACAAACTTCATGCCATCAAACCAATCTTGGGAGAATGGACTCCTTCCTACAGAACTATTCGTAGGGAGGAGGTTGTCATTGCAAGAATCAGAATCGGTCATACATACATTACCCACTCACACATACTAAAAGGTGAAGATCCACCAGAGTGCGTTCCTTGCAATGTACCATTTACTGTTAAACACTTTATGACCACGTGTTCCGACCTGCAACCTACGCGTGATAAATACTATAATGTACACGACATGCAGGAACTTTTTGATACTATTCAAATCACTAGTATTTTAGATTTCCTAAAGGAAGTAAATCTTTATCTTAAACTGTAACTGTATGATCTTACCCAAACTAATTTTTAACTAATGCAAATACCAACTATTATTTACATCTTTTCATCAAGATACATCATTTACATTTCCCGTTGATCGGGAACCAATATCTTTAACTGTTACCAACATTTACCATTTTATATTTAACTACTATGGATTTTTTACTATATCGCTGGTCGATATTGAACCTTTCTTTTTACAAATATGACCTACTGTATGGCGCTAAATAGCCTAAAAGTGCTGGTGCGCCGTTAAAATTAAATCAATCAAATCAAATCTCTCTCTCTCTCTCTCTCTCTCTCTCTCTCTCTCTCTCTCTCTCTCTCTCTCTCTCTCTCTCTCTCTCTCTCTCTCTCTCTCTCTCTCTCTCTCTCTCTCTCTCTCTCTCTCTCTCTCTCTCTCTCTCTCTGCCTCCCCCTACGTTGTTCCTCAATTTGCATCTTTAGAATTCACTCCCTAACTTACTAGACCTCTGCGTTGGTGAAAATCCTAGCGAGTACTGAAGTGATCTTAAAACGACCTGTAGAATAAAAGTCGGCTTTGGACAGGTGCCTCGCTCACATATTTCCCTACTTCAGCCTTAATTTGATACTGGGTTCCCTTTATTATCTGCCTAGTTTCTCAAGCGCATGTCAAATTTCTTTCTCCCTCGGCTAGGAATTTGGCTTGGGTGTGAATAAATAACCTCTTTGGATTTATCAGTTTCTTTTTCCCTTTGAAAATAGCCGCCTCTTTGTCACCCTCCCCCTCATTGGCTACTGTAACGTATAGACTTGCGCAAATTGTTGGCCTCTTTAACAGGGTTACCTTAATGCAAATTGTTGGCCTCTGCAACATGGGTGAACCTATACAGAGTTTACGTAAGCTGCTTACTCTTATGTAAAACCTAACGTATAGAAAACTTTTTCATCTCTCAGAGAAACAATTTTCACAGGAGAAAAGGTACCCTGAGCCTTTTTTGTTTCTCCAAGGGAGATAATAGGTTAAAGGAATTTCTCTCTTTTAAGCTAAATTGTCTCGCAAAATAGTTTTCCCCTGACAAATTAACTCTGGGAACCGAGTAGAAATTTTTCCCCAGAAAATGCTACTCTGGAATAACTTCATTCAAAGAAACTCTACTCTTGAGTCTCAGTACACACATTACTGCGGTATCACATATAGGGTATTAAATACGGGTACTTCAAGATTACAGAACCTATATGTAATAAAGGGTCAAAACGCATGTCAGACATGGTTGGGGTCTACGATGATCCAGTGCCGTTCTAAGGCATAGGCAAGCAAGGCACGTGACGGCCCCAAAACAAAATTTCGGTGTCTGTTGTGTTATCAGTTTAGTGTTTGTGCCTAGAAACCCCAAACTTCTTAAAACGGCTTTCTTCTGCGACACTTGTTTCTTAAGTGCGAATTGTTGGAGATTGTGGTACATACGACTGGGATGGAGGTAATGGCGACAAGGGCAGAATTTCCCCAGTGAAATTTAATCTGCTCTAAAGAAAAATATAATCACACGGCCACATTTACCCAATTGAAAATAAACCTAAGCGTAGTTTTACTGGCATTAAAAATGAGTATACAGTTGTATTTCTGGGGGTGAAATTCTTCACTATGCCATTACTCATGGAGAAACATCGGTCGAAAGAAAAACTCTTCTGCTGTATAATTGTCAGAAAACCAAGTCTCTCTAAGGGATGAATTTCTTTCCAAATACAGTCCCTTATTTGCTGTGGGATGCGTTCTATTGTATCTTGTAGCTGATCTTGTCTAAAATCAAGTTCATTGTCTACGTGACCAAATCTTTGATATTGTTTTAAATTCTGAAAACAACTAATACATCACTAGTATTTTCTCTATGTTTGTTGATTTAATATTATGCTCATTATGAATAGAAGAAACCACTTATTTTGCTCTGAGCAAAGATCATTATGTTTACCATGTTCTTTATTATAATTTTAGTAACAGGCCTTGTCTAATTATATAGCAATTATTGTTCTGGAAAATAACTTTTTTCGTACCTCAAGACTTTTCTTTTGTGTCTTAGTTGTTGTTTTTTTTTTTAAAAAAAATACAATCCTGTTTATCTATAAATGTGAATTCACATAAAAGCATAAGAAAGAAATCAAACTTCTTTTATAAAATTTTAAGCATATCATTTTTTATATATACGTCTGAGACACTGATAAAAATGAAGGCCTGCCTAACTGTTCTCGTACCAAGTTACATACCGTCATTTAAGTATCAAAACAAACATAATGTTCTTTAGGATATATACACTTTCGCTGTTATATCAATGATTACCGGTTGGGGAAAAGAAGGATTACCGTTTCTTCTAATTTTTGAAACCTGAACAATAATGCAAAACTCTAGAGCGGAATGAAAATATAAAAGTACCATTTTTGTACCTTATCATTTACTTTTGAAATGTACACATGGAAATAAATAAATCTGCGTCCGTCTTACACCACTTCTGTAGTACAAGTGTATTAAAATAGATATTGGGAATATTAGCCAGTCAGTATAATTTTATTTCTTTGGCCCCATCTGACGATGACGTCGCCGACCTCTCCAACTGTTTCTTTTTTTTAGCAATAAGTCAATTCACGTGTCATCATATGTAGACGAATGTTTATCAACCACAATGAAAATGATCAGTCTGTGACAGAAATGGTAAACTTTTGCATGAAAGACAATGTACATATGGACTATAACCAAAGACACTATACGGACAAATACAAGTTGTCAATATGCACTGTAAAGCGATGATTTCCTAGTACTTTATGTTTACAACAAATCCACGTGCTTAAAGATAAATCGTCCATAAATGCAGAATTAATCAGCGCTGGTTTGTGTCCCATTCGTTTTACCGTGATGGCGTTGATGGATCATTACGAGACGATCCATTACGTGGAATTATACTTCCATGTTCCAATACTGTATTTGCTTCGGTTAAGATTCCACGGGGTCTCACTGCCGACGCTGTTGAATTCGAATTAAACTATCCATTTGTCTGTGTGTGTGTGTGTTTGTGTGTCTGTGTGTGTGATTTGGATTTTTAACGTAGCTTTAACAAATCCACGTGCTTAAAGATAAATCGTCCATAAATGCAAAATTAATCAGCGCTGGTTTGTGTCCCATTCGTTTTACCGTGATGGCGTTGATGGATCATTATGAGACGATCCATTATGTGGAATTATACTTTCATGTTCCAGTACTGAATTTGCTTCGGTTAAGATTATACGGGGTCTCACTGCCGACTCTGTTGAATTCGAATTAAACTATCCATTTGTGTGTGTGTGTGTGTGTGTGTGTGTGTGTGTGTGATTTGGATTTTTAACGTACCTTTAACAATTTTTCAGTCATATCGCTACGATATATGAAGTGTGGCAGTTAATAGTGGGGTCTAGCACTGGGGCATCATGCCGCAGACATGTAGCATGATGTCCCACCCAGTCACATTATCCTGACACCAGGCCGACCAGTCCTAACACTAGACTCCTAATGCTGAGCGCCAAGCGAGGCTGCCGTAAGTACCATTTTTGTAAGTCTTTGGTATGACTCAGCTGGGGATCGAACCCACGATCACCCGCATCCGAGGCGGACGCTTTAACCACTAGTCCACCGGAGAGGTCTATCCCTTTTGCATTCAGTGTTCGAGTCATGTTGTTATTGCAATAATGCATTTCTAACACAGGCCTCATAAAACATTTTTCTGTATCTTTGAATAAAAATGTCCAATTATCGAAACTTTTTATGCTATAAATTTGTTTCCTAACTCATATTTTCCAAAACACAAAACTGCACTAAGCGGAGTAAACAGCCTTGCGGATCATAGAATGAATCACACAAGCAATTAAAAACCTTCTTCTGAATTTATTCCTCTCAGGTAACTATATTAATCCTTTCTTTCTTAGTAGAATCATGTTGTCATCTTTTTCATCAAAGATATATGAATTATTCAGTCAATAAAGACACTTTGTAATTTGTAATCAATCAATAGATCCACCTTGCAATTTGTGAGCAATATTATGCATTTAACAGAGGCTTACTAATAAATTACAACAGACTGTTTAATTAGCAGGTTATGATTAAGTATTTCACGAGATAAATTAAAATAAATAATTTGTATCTGAGAGTAAAACGTTTTTAGTATTGGATAATAATGATAATTCAACTAGGAAGATAGGAATAATTTCAAATGTATGGTGAAAAGATACAGCTGCAAAATTAATTCTACTTGAACATAATTATGGCACATTTGCTATATGTTGTGTTTTCAAAATGCTTTATATAAGAAACCTTCTATAATGACATTTTGTGAATTGGAAGCTGCGTAAATGAATCGGAGAAAACACTGTCAAAATATACCTGTTTCGTAAACATGGCGTTTCTTTATCTTCTCTTTCCTTTCGTAGACATAATTTCTTTTTCAATCAAGCATTCCTGTATTAAATAACGCATTCCAGTTTCATAATATCCGAATACTGACAGCTAAACAGCCCAAGAACAAAATTCAAAACAGTGTTCAATTAATATTGATGCTTAAATGTTTTGCATGAAGGATAATTTCATACTCCTGTCTTTTACATCAGAATGATTCACATGTTCCATTTTACAGTCAGTATGCTGTGGAAAACACCACCATTTTGTCAGCATATTATTTCAATATTTTAACTACAATGGTAAAGCATCCTCCATACGCTTTTAAATATACTATACCCTTTTTCGATGTGCCATACTCAGTTTCAATGTACCATAGCCATTTTCGATGTACCATACCCTTTTTCAATATACCATACATATTGAAATGAACCATACCCATTTTCAATGTACCATACCCATTTTAAATAAACCATGTTCAGTTTCAATATACCATACACATTTTCAATGCCAATACCTATTTTCAATGTATCATAGACATTTTAATTATTTCTCATGATTGCTGTGAACATTTGCCAATTGTTTTGGTTGTTTCTCTTTTTCAACATTGTGTGTAACATTTGATTGTTTTCTTCCTTTTCGTTTCCATTCCTTCATTTAATGTGAGTTCAATTTTAAGTCTATATGCTAGTCGGGGAATTATATAATTCCCTACAGAAAAGGCGTTCGACTCAGTACCAAAAAGGTCTCTGACAGAAACGTTTAAAATATTTGGCAACATGTACATCATTTGGGATACAATTTTATAGGTAACGCCTATGGCTGCATACAGATTATGGATGGATAACAGAGTGGTTTCAATTTGGATCTGGAATAGGACAGGGGTGCCCTTTCTCACCACTACGATTTGTATTAAGCCTTAAAATATTACCATTACAAGTCAGTTTAAATGAAACCATACTTAGGTATTACACTTAAAGTTGTACTTAGTATATGATAAGTACTCAACATTTGTAGCAGGTGTTCTGTGAGCATGTACAAGGTTATTAGATTCAACTAATGTATTAAATAGGTTTTCGGAATGATATGCGCTTGTCCTAAAGTATGCACAGACTGACATATTGTCAGGGTATCTTCAAAGCGCAATGAATATATTGTTCTAAACACTAAAAGAGATGTGAAATTACAAAATATGTTGATGCCAATTACATAACACCACACATAGAAATTAAATATGAGTATAAATCATCAGACACATAAAACTGTGGAACGAAAGAATACGAAAAAATTCAAAGCTGCGATGCATATATAGGTAAAGAGGGATATGAGCATAGTAAGGAAAATTCGAGGAGCATAATCAGTTTTTACTATCACATGTTTTGCATCATTGAATAAAGTTTGCCAATATATTGTTTGCTTTATCTGAAAAAGATAAAACACAAAAACAGAGCATTTAAAAAAGTCAAACGATATTATTTTCAGTGAAATTCAGAATGGAATTTCAAAACCGATTAATATTTAGAGATATGAAATTGCTTTTTTATTACTGATATTAAAACTGTCATGTGGACCAATCTACTTCTTTAAAAAAGAACAACTGGAAAAAAATGTGTAGTACTTATGGCTATCACCAATTTACAAAATAAAAAGTGAAATTGTTTGTATAAAAACAAATTATTGAAAAGTGTGGCTAATAATGAAAAGGTTGTCTACGCTACATGGAATGTTCTATTTAAACCATTATGAAATAATTAAAATTGGTATATCAATGGGAAAAATTTTATCGTATATGTAAATGACATTTTTAAGTCTGGAAGATAAGAAAATAATATTAAGTAAAAATATATTCAATATTATTGATATCTTATCTTAGATATTTTTATTTTAAATATTTTTGCAAACACTTAGTTGTTAGAAATAAAACTAGCATGCCTTAGGCAGGGTTATGTCTCTGCAATATTCTTATTGTTTAACTTAAGGCAAAAAAATATGGTATATTACTTGTCACATGTGAGAACCCTATAAACATATACTATGTTAGTTTACTTGTGTGTTATTTTATTTTAGTTTTTAATTGTTTGTTCGTAATATAAAATGTCGTTCAATTGTTATGAAGCGAAATAGCCAATTCGTACTAAGATACTTCTTTGAGATACACATAGTAAAAAAGGTTTTGCTGTGTACTCTTGAACCCAAATCAACCGCCATCATTAAGACATCAAAAGAGAGAAAACTAAAGCATCTTTAAACCACTCTAATAATTGGCAGATTTATTTTTATAATAAGGATTGTCCGTATGGGAAATCACAGGAATACCTTTTTCTTAAATTTTCAACGCTCTGCAAAAATACCAAACTCGGAAGTGGAACCGACTTTTGAAATATAAATTTTGTGGTATTCAACTTCCAGTTTTGAATCGCAGACACAGATAATGTATTCATCAAATTAAATCAAATCTTTCTGTGATGTATTCTTTGTAAATGGACATACTATTTGTTGTGTATTAAAATTATTTTAGGTCAACCAGTCATTTGGTATATTTTTATTTCGTTGGTCCAGTCTGGCGACGACATCGCTCAATTTCCAGCCTGTTTCTTAATTTAGAAAAAAAAAAGTATATATACCTGTCATCATATTTAAAACAATGTTCATTAACTAGTGTATATGAGCAAATACAACTAATGGAAACATTCTTTGTTCAGGTCTTTATAAATATTTGTTCAATGAAAATATAAAAAGAATCGCAATCTGACTAAAACATTGTTGCGTTTTGGAATCACTGATTTTGGTGGGTCTAATTGGCCTTAAGAATAAATGAAAACGTCCAGCCTATTAGAACAATAGTAAATTGATGAAACATGCACGCGTGAAAGACAGTTCGGCATTTCGCTATAACCACGGGACCTATATAGACAACTTAACATTTTCTATAGCGAGAAATTACTCTCGGTCTATGTTTACCAAAGATTTTAATGCTTAGGACTGTATAGTCCATAAAGATCTAATGAGTGCTGATTGATGCCAACTCACTTCCAAGTGACAATATTGATGGATCATTATGAAAAACATCTGACTAGATGGCATTGAATTGGCATGGCCCAATACTGTATTTACCTAAAAAGCAATATAGTGGAACAGTCCGCCGATGTACGAAATTAGACTTTCTCTTTTGCAATCAGTCGTGGAGTTATGCAGCTTTCATCTTGGACTGAGCTTCTAATTTAAAATTAGTTTTAACACGGGACCATAAAACAGCTTTCTGTGTCTTCAAATATAATAGTCTTGTAATATCTTCGTAAGATGATTCATTTAACTCTTTTTCAAAAACTTTATGTATTTTTGGTTATCCACCGGACTGCAGTAAGCGGAGGAAGTAGCCTAACGGAACTTAGGATTACACGTGCAACATATGGAAAACATTATCCTGAATTCTTTTACATCAGGTAACTAATCTTGTCTTTTGGAATATATTAGGTAAGACTATGTCATCCTTTTCGTCATCGATATCGTTATTTTCCAATCAATAATGACAGTTTGAAATTTGTACTTAGTATCAGGTATTTAACAGCATACTAATATTTATTAATAACAGACTGTACACGTAGTAGCTTAGCATCAATTTTAATCAGATCAAAACTTCTGTCTCAAATCATAAAACTTTAAGATAACAATATCTCAAAAACGAAGACACATACATAATTTAAAAAGTGACAAGCAATAACCCCCAACCGAATATATAATAATTATTTAAAAAGCGATATGTAAAAATATAACGTTGTGTAACTATTTATACAGGACTGTAATTATGGCTCATTTCCATAATTGGTTATTAAGTAACGGTTCGTGAAATACATTAACTCCCTACATCGAAGGTGGCTTGATAATAGGTGGGAACGTAACTGAATTGGAGAAAACACCGCGAGATTTGTTGTTGGAATTTTCTTGAATAATGTAGACAAAACTTGCTGAATACAAGCGTATTTAATGATCCTCATATTTACAATTTAAAATCCACATATGAAGTTAAAATGCTCCATTTACTATTGACACTGATGCCGACTGGAAGAACGTCGCTTAATCGTGTACTTTACATCAGAATGATGCATGTCTTCCTGTACAGAAATAGATTTACGCAGGAACAGTAATTTATCTTTCATATATATTTTTAGTGACATGGAATGGCAGTTTTCTAGTATGCAATATATATATATATATATATATATATATATATATATATATATATATATATATA